TCCATGTCACAACCAAACTATAGGAATGGATTAAGCCATGCCAATTGAGGAAATTAAAACAAAAAATGTACCCACTGGCCAAGCACTGAACAACCGCACTTACAAGAAGCCAGATTGGGGGCTACATGCTCCTCACTTCCCCAATCTCCCATGGCAATGGGCCCCAGAATTCAATATTATAACAATACCGTAAGTAACTTTCCAAACTCCACAAGAAAATCTATCAACTCAACAAAATTATTGCCTTCCAGAATTATTTTGCTGCGGTAGATATTGGTACAAAGGGAAATGTAACAATTCGTATTCAATTCAATCACCCGCATGCATCTGTGTCATGCCTTATTTATAGGCCATTAGAGATACTAATCGTCTAAAAAAGAATAGCTTCCACTAACAACCACAAAACTAATCCAACTAATCCCTTTTAACAATAATTCCCCCCTTAAAAATAATAACTGCCCTAAAGTATCAGAAAAACTTGGAAATTTAGTTCCTTTTTCACATGGTCATTTATATTGTAGTCGTGGAGAACTAAAACTTAGGACATCATCGACTCCCCACTTGCAACACCAACTCAAGTGGGTTTGCATTAATAAAGCCATCTAGAGTAAAACCCACAGTCCCACACTAATGTTAAGATTTGATATGACAATTGCATGACTTTTGCCACCTGTATTGGACTGGACACTTTTCCCTCTAGCAGAAGCCTTAGACTACATGTGCATTTGAACTGCAATAGGACCCTTGATACAGCTTTTATATCCTTATCATCACCTATGCAGTAAACAATATCGTGGGTACAATGGAACATATTTAATACATCATCTAGCTACCCTGCTTCCATTGTTAATACTGCAATTATCACTGTAGTAGATGTGTTGGAAGTTCCATTGTCAGAACACTCAACGCTAAACAATTGCAGTCCATAGAAGGCAATAGAGCACTTCTCAGTCGATTTAGGATGCAAATGTCCCAGATCTAGATTAGAATATCTTCCTCTTCTTGAATTTTGATGGGCAGGAGATCTTGATAGAAGGTGATCTGCGTCTGACTCCTACAATTCATTTCCAGTCTTCATTAGTTCCCCCATTCATGTCATGAAGTTTCAACATCCGACAATGTCCATTTGTATCCCTTAATTCATTTTCCGGAATTTATCATGCATTCTAGCCATGGTGCCAGGTTAAGCTCTGATACTAATTGGAAGTTTGGTTGTGAGAAAAACATGAAAAAATTCTTATTTAATTCACAAATTTACGTCTGCCTCATCACTTATTTATAAACTATTAGGATGAAAGTTATCTAACAACTTTTACTTAAATCTACTGATCCTAATTAACTCATTCCACATGATAGATAGCGATTCCCACAGGATATATCTCCTTTGTTCGATGATGATATCAAGAAAGCATCCCCATGGTTTCGCTGCTATAAGGGGACGAATTGAAATAATTCCCGAATCCACTAGTGCACCAAAAGCCGTAGGAGCCACAACTTATCGGGTGTAACCTAGTATTTAGTAGAGAAGTAGCCTAGTAATTAGTGACTGGAACCGAAAATCGTGAAGCATAATACACTAACTCGCATATATAGATCAAATCCAGATGCCGCTTTAAAAAAACAGAAAATACCTCGAAGGGCCCGGATCTTCGGTGCTTAGAGGAGCATATGAAGATTGATTCGAACGAAGAAGTGAAGTGCTCACCATTTCAATAACGGGACCGCCGGAACCAGAAGCTGAGGAAGATAAAGGGGCTCGCACGCTCTTGACGGCATCTCTGTGCTTTCTGAATAGTACAGTTCGATTTCTGCTGGCCATTGATTCCTAAAACCCTGTAATTCGGTAAACACAGTACTGAGAAGCGAAGATTGGCGTAGAGGGGCCAGATTCAAGCGCCCAATACCAATGGAAAGAACTGAACAACCAAGAATTGGAAATCTCGGATCGGAAATCAACAGATTTCCGTCAGCGGGGCCGATAGGGTCAGTTTCGTCAATTTGAGTAGATGTTCCCCACACCCAGCCCTGGCGCATGAATTAATTTTTTTTTTTTTTTTTTGTTCCAAGGACAAACGTAAATATAATGAACGGGGTTGGGCTTATTATTTTTTCTGTTTTAATTAAATTTTTTAATAAATAATTATTTATTTTTAAATTAATATATTTTTTATATCTACTTCAATTTAATAGAGTATTTTATATTAAAATGTATATAAAATAATTTATATTTTATAGACACTTTTAAGAAAGCACATTAATTATATCTTAAAACTCTAATAATACTCTATATTTTTAAATATTAAATCTCTTAAATAATGCATTGTACTTTTTTAACGAATGTAGTTTATTTTTATATAAGGATAAAGGTGTAAATTCAGCACTCAATTATTTTTTCATGAGCACAAAACAGCCTATATTATAAGGTGATGTAAAATAAATTCCTAACTTTTAAAAATGAAACATTCAATAACCTCCATTAATTTTTATCTAATGAATGTTAACTTCTTATGTGGGCCCGTAAATTTTTGGCTAAAACGACATATGGCACTCCACCTCTGTAAGTAAAGGTACAAATTTAGTTGTGAACTATTTTTTGAAGAGTATTGGATAATTTTTACTATAAAAAAATGGACCATCTAATACTTTTTCATCAATTTTGACCAAATACCATTTATTTTCATATTTATGGGATCCACGTAGTGTCAATTTTCAATCTTCTTGCATTTATTTTTGGTCTTAACTCAAGAAGAAAAAGTTCAAATAGTTATTATATGAAAACATTCACGTGGATGATGTTAACAAAATAAAAGAAAAGGAAGAAAACAAAGTTTTATTTAAATTTCTATGATAATTCAAGCCAATTAATAGTTGAAATGCAATGCCACCATGCATCAAAAAAGCTTAATTCAAATTTAATTTAACTACTAACTATTTTTATAAAAAATGAAGCAATTGAATCAAGCTTCTTTGATACGTAGTGGCATCACAATTCAAACTGCTACTTCGCTTGAATTACTATAGAAATTTAAACAAAACTTTATCTTCTTCCTCTTCTTCTTCTTCTCTGAACCTATTATTCTCGAGGTGAGGCTGAAAATGAAGGTAAAAATATTAGAGAGATTAATGCATTATGAGTCCTATAAGTCTAAAAATAAATTACATTTAGTCAAAATTGATAGGAAAGTGCTAGATGGCCCATTTTTATAATAAGGGCTACAAGGTACTTCTCGAAAAATAGTTATTGACTAGATTTGTACCTTTTATTTGCCAGGATGAAGTGTCACATGTTGTTTCAATTTAAAACTTATGGATCCCATATAAGAATTGCCATCAAAATTTAAACAAAACATTGTCTTCTTCTTCTTCTTCGAACCTATTATTCTCAAGCTGAGGTTGAAAGTGAAGATAAGAATATAAGAGAGATTAACGTGTTGTGGATCTTATAAGTTTGAAAATAGATTTTGTTTAGTCAAAATTGATGAAAATGTGCTGGATGGTCTGTTTTTATAATAGACGCTGCTAAGTGCTCATTGAAAAATAGCTAATGACTATATTTGTACTTTTATTTACTGAGGTAGAATGTCACATGTTATTTCAATCAAAAATTTGTAGACCTCATATGAGAAGTTAACTCCCGTTAAATAAAAATTTATGAAGGGTGCTGGATGCTTTATTTTTTAAAGTTGATAATTTATTTTACATTATCTTATAATATATAAGCTATACAATGCTCCTAAAAAAATAGTCAATGGCCAAATTTATATCCTTACCTTTTATACAATCAAATCATAAAAAGTAATAAAAAATTGGTGGGCCAAAAAATAATAAAAATTTGTTATAAAATATATAATCTATAAAAAACCACATTTTTAGTTTAATTAAAATTAAGCAATTTAAATATGTAAGAATAAATATATAAGTTTTTTCTTAATAAATTTCATATATGTTTTTCCATGTTACATTTTTATTTGGTTGGATGAGAGGAGAGATACAATTTTTCTTCTCTCATTCTAATAAAATAATGAGAGAGCTTTCGTTCTTTTGTTTGGCGAAAAGAAGAGGAGCCCTTCCCTCTCTTTCAAAGTGGGGGGTGGGATGTTTGAGAAGGGATTCCTTCCCTCTCCTTTCCTCTCTCTCTTTTTTTTAAAGAACTTTTATTTTTTTTGTTAAAATCTTTTTTTTCTTTTACTTTAAACTGAATATATAGTAGTCAGAGCATGTAAACAATTTCAAATTCCCAACTACTATTCCATTCTACTTTTGAATGAGTAACAACAAAAAAATATCTATTACGTATGCTTAAAATAAAATACACTAGTTTTTTCAAAAATAGCAATTAAATTTTAAAAGATTGAATTAATAATAATTATGTCTTAAAATGTTGAATTAATTATAGACAAGTAATTTACAACTTATTCTTCTAATTTTTTCTTATTCTTTTTTTTTATAATCGAAGAAAGTAAAGATAATAGATTACAAATTAAACACGAAGTGAATTGAGCTCCTTCAACGGAAGAAAGTGAAGACTAGAGGCTAACTTGAGAGCCTATTTTGTTAGATAATCAGCTACAACATTATCCTCTCTTGGGATGAATCCAAGATCCACCATCCATTAACAACAAAGCATATTACAACACTTTAGAACTAAATCCCACTTGTCATGCATATCATTATTATATTTAGAGCTTTTAAAGACAAGCCCGCAACACACTCACAAGAAAGTCTCCTTCAAATATTTTCAGCATGAATGCTTCCAATGGGGAATTATGATTTGTTTTTCCTTATCCTTTAGATTGAAAGAAGTGATAAATTGATGATAATATTCATATTTATAGTGTATATATAATGTGACTCACTAAAAAATTAAGATATAATTTTAACGAGGAGCAAATAATGAAATAACACTAATTTACAGAATGTAACTAAATTATAATTTTAATTTTGAAAATATAAAGCTATGGATATGAATTTGCAGTCGGAATGAAAAGGGTGGGGGGCGGGGCCGGGGCAAATCTTGTTGGCTAAGGATCCACGAGCAATCAGAAAATCCCTGGCTGTTTCCGTCCACTTTTTCGCCCTTTTTCAGTATATAAACTCCACCTCGCCAGCTCTGAAAAGGAATCCATCCATAGCTCACATCTCCAGACTTTCTCGTGACTTCGTCAACGGCCTTCGTTACAAAAAGTACTGACTACAATTCCATGGAAGACCAAGCTTGGAGTCCTGTCCTATCTACTGCATCGGGAAGCTACCGCTCGAAGCTAAAGTCCCATTTCGGTGATTCTGTAGTTTCCATTCTGTTTTTTCACTTATCTTTGATCATATAATCCCTTTTTATATGAATATGTGATACATATAAAATAATGAGTTTTATGTGTCTTTGCGTTCTTTATTTATTTGTGGATATTGAAGCAGAAACCTGTGTCGATTTCGAGGAAGTAGATGGTGACGGCGAGCTGAAGACCGCATATCCGTGCCTATTTTGTGGAGAGGATTTTGATCTTCTGGAACTGTGTTGTCATATTGAGGAGGATCATTCGGTCGAAGCGAAGACCGGGGTATGCGTATCTCATCTCAAAGGGTCGATAAATTTATTTTTTTTTATTGGCGTTTGCTGATTTTTTTTTTTTTTTTGGGGAACCAGATTGATCTCATTACCACTTTCTTTTCCGTATCTTATTGTCTTTTTGATGGTTTGGCTGCTTTTTTCAGAGAACTGGCATATTATAATGCAATTGTATTTATGAATTATAAGTATTGAATGTGAATCACGGTAAAAGAGCAACATATCTAAATAGCGTGATTACTCAAAAGACCTTGGCTGAAAAACCTGATTAGGAAATTAACCCATGAATCTAATCTACAATCTACCCGAGGCTGCTTCAACAATAGCTTCCACAAACTAGCAAATTTAGTTACTAGAAGTGCATCAATATTTAATACAATTGATTCATCTGTTTAACCTGCTCGATCGAAGTACTAATACATATTCTTTTATTGCACTTGCTAATGTCTGATTTCATTTGTGTTTTGCAGATTTGTCCTCTCTGCGTTACATGGGTGGGCACGAATTTGGTTGAACACATATCAGCACAACATGGAAACATACTTAAGATATCCTTTCTGTGCTGGCTGCTAGAAATTGTTTCGTTTTTTTTTTTTGCCTTTTGTCTTCTTATTTTAATATATGTCCTTTGATGTTTCACTTATTGCCTTCCTTGGGATACAATTGTGTTAAAAGTTCCTTCACTGGAGATCACAGTCAATTCAAATCTGGATACCCTAAATTCGAGCCCTATGGAGCCCTTTCCCTTTCTAGTAAAGATCTAATGGATGGAGATGGATGTTGGCAGTCTTTTTCTATTGGTTCATCTTGTGAGATTTCTACCTCAAAGACAGCATGTGATCAATTGCTATCATTTCTTTACTGTTCATCTGCTTTGGATGAACGTGAAAATCTGCAGCCTGCTTCAAGCAAAGAAAGCATAGAAGAAGTAGACTCAGGAGAGTCAGTGCCAGCAAGGTTTGCTGAATTCTTACGGTTGACTGTGATCATGCTGCATTCCTCGTTTCACTTAACATCTATTAAGAAATTTAAATTAATTAGTTGCTTGATGTCATTGTGGCTTCGTGGAAGGAACAATTACTTTTAAATGCAGGAGTTATTATTTGATTATTGATAAAATTAAAAAAAAATGTTGAATTTGTGATACTACTCATCACACTGAAGTAGTTTAAAAGAGGTGAAAAAGGGCACTTCCTATGAGGTCACCGATAGCTCCTTTGATCCAGTTGGGTACAAATGTTTCTATAAATCTTCGTAGTTTGAAATTAATCAAAATATACTAGTGAGGAGTGAACTTGCAAGTATGATGATTTGTGCCGAAACAAGATTCGCTTAATATGCAAGTCCCTAAAAACGGATGTGGGGTTCTCGGGTTCTATTGTCTTTATTTCATTTTATTGCAGGGGAAGCAGAAGAGCGAGGGGGGGCTTTTGTGTTAGATGTTAATTCGGATAATTTTTATCTTTTTTCCCCTGAAGATATGTAGCATGGTCTATTAATACTTGTGATGAATGCAGAGATGTTCAACAATCCTTTACTGACGAAGACCAGATAGGGAAAGCACAGCGAAGTGCATTTGTACAAGAACTTTTTGTGTCCACTATCCTAGACTCCGACTTCTGATCAAGACAATCAAGGCAATCAAAGCAGCAGCCAGTTTCTATAATGAAAATGATGGTTGATCATATTTTCCCCCTGACAAATTAACACAAACTTGGTCTACCATATAATTTTTTTTCGATCTGATGGTCTACCAAAGTTCGGTTGTAAAGAATGCACCTTGGTGACATAGTTTGATGTCTAGTTGTCAGGTCTCCATTGGGTTAGTTTAATAATTTTAGTAGCAAGTCTATACAATAATTCTGTATTTTTGTTGTACAAGTTAAGGTATATAGGGAGCTAAGGTATATAGGAAAATAGGAATTAAATGTACTGTCTATATGGTACTACTTCAGAAATTAGGAATTAAATGTACCGTCATTGGAGGCAATGTAATTTTATAGCTCAGAACAACTCCAAGTCCTATTCTACTTCATCCCTGACAAGGTTTACTCTTATTGTGGGAAACGGACTGAGGTAGGCTGAAAAGTGAGAGGTGTTCTGTGGCAACTGCGACAGCGACCTAACAAGTGCTCGAGTGTAGAGTGAGAGAATGCCTTATCCTGAGGAGTCCGGGTCATCAGTATGGCCATTCACTGAATTGCACCGCTTTCTTCTAATCTCGATGCTGCTGAGATTTTTTGCGTTCATGTCTGTTATGAATTGCACCGTTTTCGTGGTATTCTATTTTGTTGCGATCTTCTTGGATTTCCCGGCAGTAAATCAAAGCTCACAAGGAGGGTTAATTAATTTAATACTATACTAGTTGGGTAAATGTTTTGGTTTCTTATAGCAGTCGGCAATTTATTGTATACTGACTGATATAGGAATAACATCTCAAGTTATAAATGCAATCCCTGCTCCAGTGCGCCAACTGCTAAGTCGTAGTTTTACGTTGTAATATTAAGAAATATAGTAACCTTTGGATGAATTGACTAACGAGGCAAACAAAGCAGAGCATGCATTAGCCCCCCCCCCCCCCGGGGGGGACAAGCAGCAGCGTGATAACTCAATAGGAGCTTCAAAGGACTAATTAATGATGTACACTCGAAATTCTCGACAGTAGCTTATCTAAACTAAAAACCACCTTTGCTAAATTGTCACATGAAAAAGGGAAAAAATAAAAAATACCCAAATTGAGGAGATAGACGGATTTATCCTTACACCCGGACTATGGAAGTTTGAGGAACCCCAAACAATATAAAAAGCGGGGCGCATAATTTTAATATACCTACGGCAGTTCTATCACGCTTTCCCCACAAAGCATGCTGATTCCTATTGCCTACGAGCCTTCCATTCACTTGTTTATACACATCAATCTAAAATGGTCAAATCAGCAACTGCCATCTTCAGTCCTGTATGGTATACTGCAACTTCTATGGCGAAACCTGAAATAATTATTGAGGTGAGGTTGAATCAAGGTGGTTAGTAAGATGATGAGGAGCAAAGCAGACTATCAACACTCCTCATTCTGACAGAAAAATTTAGACTCCTGTCCTGATCATCTCCACCGAGAGCTATGACTAACAAAGAACTGATAATCAAGATGTCTGGCCCTCAAACTCTGAAGCCAATTGTCAGCAGCCTGCACCAGGGAGTTAGCTTGCTGCCATTCAGAGTCTCCATTTGGAGACAAAATTGAACCCCTCAGTTTGTAGGAGGCCAGGGCAAAAGAAGGAAGAGAAATCTTTAAAGATGCACCAACACCATGAACCTTCTCCCCACGAGAAACACAAAATTGCGGCTCCCTTTTGCCTGTTTGAAAGATACAAATAAATCAGACTTCAATCATTCATTGTGTATCTGGCAGAATGAGATAGACTTACAGACTTACTTCTAGGGTGAGTTGATAAGGTATGGAAGGTCAGGAAAGACGCATCCAAACTTTTTAGAGTTGAACCAACTGGTATTCTATAGATTGGATACCTGAATCCAAGTTTAATTCATCAAGTCAGAGAACAAATCAATGGAAGAACCGCAAAAAGAGAACAGAAGAACATTTTGACACTTACCAAGCCACAGAAAACCAACTAGAAGGCAGTAGGTCAGAACTCCTGTATTTCTTTAGATCTGGAAATTGAGAGGCAAGGCTACCAACCTGAACAAAACAAACGAAATCATGTGTCAAATCAGAACGAAAATTCCACATGCAGATCTTACATGAATGAACTTGCCTTGTCAAAGATAGGTGGGCGAAAGTGGGGTTGCTCCCAGTCAAAGAATTCAAATACAAGCAACCCTGGTGAGTTGCAGACCTCAGTTTCATCACTAGAAGAAGCCATCAGAGGCTTATCTCTTAAAGTTATTCCACTAAATCGCTCAGAATTAACATTCATCAGGTTAGAGTAATTTGAAGCTCCATCAACACGGACCTCACAAGGCTTCCTGGTCCAGGTCAATTCCATTATTTTACATGTGAAACAGCAATACATCATAACAACTACAAAGACGGCAAGTTGACATTTTAATTTCAAAGTAAAAGTGGGGAGGGACATTCAGGATGTACACCGGAAACAAAAATCCAATTATTTACCTCAGTACAAAAGAGTACCAGTGATATCACAAAATCACAAAGAAATTTTTACATCACAGGTTGACTTGGGATAAATACAAATATAGATAAAATATGAGAGAACCATACATGATTTACAAAACAAGATGCATGAGATCCCATTTTATCAAAGCAAATAAGATGAACATTTCTCTTCTCTTTAATCATCTCTTTCCAGAGACTGACAAGCAAAAACTAGCATAAATATGCAGCACATGAGATATGGTAATAACAAATATGAATGGATGACGTGGGCATGAACTAATTTCATATTGTATATGATGGTCAGTGTCTTAACAAGTCAAGTTAGGTAGACTTTCACACCTTGGTAGTACCATGAGGACGTGAACTCCATTCGGAAACATCAGTAGCCAGCACTTTCTGACTCTGACATCCATTAAGACTCAAGCATGCAAAGCTAAGTAATTAATCACCTGTCACTCCATCCCTCATGTTTATCCCAGCAGAAGCACAAGCATATTGAAATAGCTACGTTAAAATTATAACTGCTTGAGTACCAATCTCAGTTAAATCTCCCAGTAGTTTAAGAACCTGGCATGTAATCTCTTTCGGCACCTTCTTTATACCATCGCTTTATAAATGCTGCTACATTTTTCCAAAGGCCAGCTTGTATCATGGATATGTCTTAAGCTAAACATACCACTTCCTCCAAGAAATAAGCATTAATTTTCCATATGCACTGACAATATAGAAGGCCATATCTAGAATTCATCCAAAAAAAAAAAGACTACCTATTCCACCTACGAGTGGGTCCATTAGGCCTCGAGCGTACACAATGAATGACCAATTAATCAAACTTCCAACTCGAGAAACTTAACCAAGGAAAGGTTATTACTCTATCCTCTCAGCACTTATTTAGGATTGGTTTTTCTAAAATATCACAAAAGGCGGCCTTACCAACCAATAGATTATCATCTCTGCTTCAAGAAATCTAATAAACCTTTTAGTAACCAAAAAATAAGAGTTTCATCAATGAGCTTGAATGTTAGGATGGGGATTTCAGGGTATCAACTTGATTAGGAATGTTTAGAGCACTGCAAAGCATAACTAATTGCTTCACAAACATGCTTTTAAAGCAAGAGCCCTTGACTAGAGTACATGCAGCAATAAAGTTAAACTTGAAATGAAATGTCAACAGTCCTTCGCAAATGGTAAAATACATGTGATAATAGTTTTGAAATTTATTGCAGTATTATATTCCCCATGTTGAATGTTATTAACCTCCTCAATCCTAATATAATTTCACACATGGAACAACAGCGGCAGAATAACTACATTCCTAAGTGCATACCTTGGGGTTACCCCAAGGTGCTGCCTTTATGGTTTGAAGATGTTCTCAAGAAGAGCAAAGAGTATAAAAAATTTTCCTTCACCTCAAACGTACTTGGGCATTCCAAATACTCGCGCAATTAAGATGGGGAGCCAGAGCACCTTAACCTAACAATTCCTTGAACCCTTAAACAGAGAGCCAGTCAACTTCAAATGTCTGTTACAGGGTCCTTTAGTCCACTTATCACCTGAGGCTCCTGGCCCACGCTTGAGTATTTTGTCCTCGGTGAGAGAACCTCCCAAAGCCATTTACCTTGTCTATATGAAGTTGGCCTAAAAGAAAGACTTGAGATCAGGTTGAACCTAGGCAAGCATTCAATTGATGACTGATAGAATGATTTCACGATAACACAGGTCTCTAAACTGCCATGGTTGTACCCAACCTCCCAAGCCAGTTGCTTTAGAACTCTGCAATACATAGCATCCCCACCTTAGACAGAAAAATGTCTACCCAAAAAGAATTTGACACCTCTCATGCAAGGAACAACAATGAGCAATAGTCAAACTAGATTGGACAATGGTGCTTTGTGTGAGCTAACCTCAAGCTAGGACAATAGTGCCTTCTGAAATAAATTTCTCACTACTTTAGTTCTTCATGTACCTTTCCAACAAAATTTTGCCTACCCTTTGACCAACTTTAGTCTTTTGTCTTTAGCTCGACTTTCCATCTAATCCCATTTAAGTTGTATAAATCCATTATGGACCACCAATATATTTCATTATTTAACGAGCAAGAAGGCATCGTTATAGGTAATCGCATGTCCCCTCAAGCACACATACAGTTTTTGTACTTGGCACATGTAACTTCCTCCTCTTTAGGAATTAATGCATAAATCAATATACCTAACAGTACATTGGCCCTGCATTTAATGCAAGATCTAAATCGAAGCCCGCATCTTTTCCATGCATCAAACAACCCATCTAACATTCCTCTCTCTCTATATATAAGCCATCTCATAACTCTTAAACAACCAAAAACCCTAAGAAATCGAAAGTATCATTATCATGCTTCTTTGCAATCCCAATTATTGATAATAATTGTCCATAAGTTACCATAACCAACTTTGGATCAGCAAAGAATGGTTTTCACCATCTCTATCAGATATCAAAAGCTCTATACCTGTAAGTTAAGATTATGCCTTGACCACCACAATTGTTAACTGTCGGGTCCTAATATGCCTTGCACCTTCATCTAACCTGAAACCCCTTGTCTTGCAGTAACTGCTTCATTGTGGTTACCAAAAGTTAACAATGCGTGCCTACAGTTGATACTTAGCAAAAGTTGACAATATGTACCTACAGATGATATTTAGACCAACAAAACAGTAACAGCATCTGGCCATAGGAAGATCAACATCAGCAAACGTCACTTGATAATAATATGCATTCCTCTAGCACACCATCACAAGACATAGCATTGGCATAGAAAAACTAAATGATAAGTTTCACCATGTAAGAAATGGTCCAAATTGAAGTAGGAAATAAACAAAGATTAATTCTAATACAATTGTAACAGATGCTGATGCAGATGCAAAATAAGTTAGGAAGAAAGGTCAAAAACCAACTTATAGAGGAAAACCTTGTCAGTACAGATTTATAAAATTAACCATTTTTTAATCCATATGAAAAGATATAGACAGAGGACATACAAAAGGGACTGACCTGGGCACATGTAGATCAACGTATAATTGAATGCCTGACAAGTATGGAACATAATACTGCTTGACAGATTCATTTCCATTTATTAACAACGGCACTTCTACTCCGTAAGCACTCCATTCCCTAAAAGATTCCCAAAGATCCCCAAGGCAAAAGTAACAATTACCATCAACTTCTGAAGTCTCCCATCCTTTTTGTTTGGGCTGTGCAACACAAACACCACCAGTTAACAACATAAAAAATGAAATCCTTGGGGGGGAATTATATATATATATATATATAGAGAGAGAGAGAGAGGGAGAGAGAACTGTGATATCTTATAGCAGCATGGGCGCACAGTCAAACAAACAACTAAAGCCTAGCAACTTATTGAAAGCAGCAGGACGGAAACAACTACTGAAAAGTTTTATCTGCTCCTGTTTCGCAACATTGACTCAGGATTTATACAGATGTATTAAATTATCATCTCAGCATAATTTAATCGGGATCAAACAATTAAAGGAATTCAACCATCAAGGCTTGGCAGTCTGCTTCAAGTTACAAGCATATACTTCAAGAGAATTATGATTCAAGGCTTTCATTGATGGGATTAGCACTATTGGTGGAACCAACATCTAGACAGTAAATCAAATAGTACGACTCTCTCTCTCTCCCCCTAAAATTTTCTCGCGCTATGTCATACCACCAATGGAAGGCTGCAGCCGGTTGCCTCTCTCCTTAACATTGCATTTGAAAGCAGACAAAATCAATTTAGCACTTCTCAAAAACAAAAACTATCATTTCATCCTCGTCATTTAATTTCCGAGTCAAGTCATTAGAACAGTTATATGCGAAGCAGCCTGAAGAACACGATTCGGAGGATATATTCTAGCAGATATTTAAAATGTCAAGAGCTTCGTACAGAAGGGGTCAGAGTCTCAGTTGTTACGAAACAAAGTCCAATTTTTTTTGCTTGTTCGTGAGTTTTAGCCGACCAAAGATTGAATTTGTACCTCAGATAAGATTTGAGCGTGAACGAAGGGAGTGACTGATGACATGAAACGATCCAAGTTAGTCAAATTAACAGTTTCGGGTGGCGAAGACGAGCCAAGGGAGTTGGGTCTCGACAATGTCGACTCGTCAGAGTTGGTAGGCGTCTCCTTCTCCACTGAACCGACTCGGGCATCGGACTTTAATGGTCTTTGCAGTTGCTGTGCCAACTGCTGATTTCTCCGAACAGCCGGCGGGTTGTAGAAGCGGTCCACACCGCGAGTTCGAGCCAAGGCAGAGCCTCCGGAGTTAGACATTATTGGAATTAACAAGAACAGCACAATCACTGATAGTCAAAGGCGAGATTAAATTATAAATTGTTTTCAGAGTGAAAATTGAGAAACAGAATCACCGGGTGTAGAAGGTGTTTTAGGGTCAAGTGAGGGAGGGAGAAGGATAGACAGCCATTGAAGCTGGAGATGAAGCTCTGTGTGTTGTGTTGGGAGGTTTGGATTTGGGAGAGGGAGAAGAGTCTTTATGTAGTCTGAGGAAAGGGACGATGAGGAGAAGACCAGTGTTTAATTTATGTTTTAGAAGAATTCCGCTACCCCCTTAAATCATGTGGGTTTTGAACTTATTTCGTGACATTTTACCACCGAGTGACCGATATGCCCTTGGACTTTAAATTGACGCATCTATCCCTCTCATTTGATTACTTCCGTTTTTTGAGGCTTGCTACTTGGATTGGATTAGATATACAGCCAATCAGTAAAAAGTCCAAACTTTTACCACATTGAACCTATTCACTTGCAAACAATCCTTTGAATCGAAAGACACTGATTATTTCAAGTATTGTGGATGAGAACCTATTATTAAAAAATTATACATAGATGGTGTGGAAGTATATAATTAGGCTAATTACTTTTAGTTCCATCTTACCAATATGATCTTAAAATTCAGGAAAGATGATGTTACTTTTACTTTTTTCACGTTATGAGAATTTTTTAAATTAATGCATTATTATTTCTTTTTAGGGAACAACTGCCCAATAAAACCAACTCATCTACTTATATTTACACTCTTTTTTGATAGGACGAAAATTCACGCACCCTATGCAACTTGGCTCGAACACAATCCTCCTTATTATAGGAAGAGTACTGGTGTCATTGTGTTATAACACCACGGGAAATTAATGCATTATTAGAAAGCATTTGATGTTGGTTGATTCATCTTGTAACTTCATCATTTTTTTAATTAAATTTTCAATAATTGATTGTGAGATTATATTAAAATCTTTAAATACTCTAACATATATGTTTGGAGTTCTTTTTTCATTCTTGTTCGGCAAAAAGGGGGTGTTGCAAGGCATACTGGAGACTCAGGCTTTCAAAAGGATGGAATAACTTGACTTGTAATCAAATGCAAGGAACCCAGACTCCCTTAATATAATTCACTTGATGTAAGAATGCGAAGTGAAAAGAATTAATGTAAATGCAGGGAAGCATAGCTACATTAATTAAAAAAAGATGTGGGGAGCTACACCGACCATACAACAAAAAAGCAAAGACTAAAGCTACATGATAAAAGATAAAATAAAGTAATAGACGTAGAGTCTGAAAATTTAACTAATAATTTGTTAACGATGATAATTATCTTTGATGCGAGCGGGCTCATCTATTTATAGATAGTCTTATCTTAGTGCCCAAGTCCTATGAGCACCACTTTTCTTGAATTTAGGAAGTACTTCTTTCATTGTTGTCACTTTCCCTAGTTTTATAATTCAAGCATCATGGGTGGAGTGTGGAGATAATAGCCTAGGCTCAATCTTGACTTAGTGGATATGGCTTCATGATTATTCATTTTTAATTATTTCAAGGTTGATTAAGTTGAGTTGAGTTTAAGCCTCCAAATTCACAATTGGGTGCAAACAATGCTCCTTGCATACAAATAAGCCAGAGCCTTCATAGGCCAATTTTGTATGAATATTTCCATTGGTCTCACTTTCAAGTATAGTATGTCTTGAAGGATCATCTCATTCCTATCCTGATTGATAGTTGATCTAGTACTTTCCTTGGAGGACACTGTTATAGTTGAGGATTAGGGGCCATATGATCTGGCTTAAGATCAGGTTTCTCAAGGTTTAGGATCTCAAGAGCTAATTTTGGAATCGGCCTTTTAAGTTTTGAGATCTCAAGGCTGGTTCTATAAAATCTAGTTGTTGCGAGGCTTGACCTTGGGGAGAGAGCTCTCATGGAGTTAGTTCTTGCAAGATTGGCAGCTTAGGATCCAATCTTTGTGAATATGGCCCTTATGAGATTGGCATCTTGAGATTTAATCTATCAAAATATGACTCATTTTTATAAAAGCCATTTGAGTTTGATAGACTAGGGGCTATAAGTAATGATAGCTTAAGTACTAAGGCCATAAAAAATGACACCCCAGGACTTAACAAATGTGACAAGCCAGGCCCTATGGTTTCAAAATTGATAGTCTAGGTACCAGGGTTGCAAAAACTATTAGCCTAGGACCTTGCTTATCTCTTTTTGAGAGCCCTTGGATATTGTTCCCTAAGTTTTTTATAGACTTTCGAGTTTCTTCCCACATCTTAGGTAAAGTTGTCTACTTCTCCTTGGCCTAAAAAATGGCCTAAAGACTTAGCAATAGAGTCCTCTTGGTGAGCTCATACAAACTTCCCCTAAGCTTTCAATGGTGACTTGACTCATAAGCTCAGCTCTAGCCTTGAGATCTCTTTCCATTTCTTGGAGAGACTTGTTGAGAGCATTGGCTGAGTGGTGCCACTTTTGAAGAGTTTCATGAAAGGCGTCTTGGTGGCGTGGCTATTCTTCCTCATAATGTCTTGTCCTTTAGCCTCCATAACTGTCGAACAGGCCTATCATTGAATTAGACCTACCATTTCTCTTTTGAGAGATGTTATAGTGGTTATTATTGTTGATCTTCTAGTTGAAGGGCACGTTAGAAAACTGCCCCTCGAGTCCGTTTATCCTCTGAACATGCGAGTCAGTTAGAGCTTATTCTTGTGACAGTCTAGACAACATAGTGGGGATGTTTTTTAACCCATCCTTTAAAGTTTGCAATAGAGCTCTGGCTGGCTTTTTTAGATGTTGTCTCTTGAATTCCTCTATCAGTGCTTGTGAGGTCGTTGCTTACTTATCGATACGGTTCTATATCATGGTTAAAGATAAAGCCACGACATCATTAGACACAATAATAGGAGGTTTGCTTGAGCGAGAGGATTTGAGACTCTTGTCCTGAGCTAGTAGGTAAGGCATTCCTTGAGAAAGTGTTGCCTATCACCCCACAGTTACTAGAGTGCAAGAGGCATGTACTTCATGTTCTGCGTGCGCAGCCACGTTCTTTGAGTTATAAGACTTATGTCCATCCTTCCAACAACATATTGATCCATATGCGTTCTAGGCATTTCGCTGACACGACTCCCACAAGAGTGCCAAAAGATTGTCCGACAAAAAAAGAGAGTGTCACAAGGCGTGCCATAGATGCAGGGTCTCAAAATAATGAAAGAATTTGACTTCTAATCAAATGCAAGGAATCTGGGTTCTCTTACCACAATTCACCTTAATGTGAGAATTAATATAAATGCAAGGAAGCAAGGATACATTAACTAAAGAAAGAAGTGGCGAGCTATGTCGACCATATAACAGAAAAATAAAGACTAAAACTATATGATAAAAAGGAAAATAAAGTAGTAGACGTGGGGTTTGAGATTTGACTAGCACTTTGTTAATGATGATAATTATCTTTGATAAGAGAGGGCGCCACTATTTATAGATGGTCATAACTTGATGTTCAAGCCCCATAATTTTCATTTTTTTTTAATTTAGAAAGCACTTTCATAATTCAAGCATCACAGGTGGAGTCTAGAGGTAATGGCCAAAACACAATATTGACTTAATAACTAAAGCTTCATGAATATTTGTTTTTAATTATTTTAAAAGCCGATTAAATTAAGTTGAGCATGTACCTCTAAATTTACAATTTAAGTGCGAACAAATAACATCCCTCTTTTTTTGTTTATCATTATAATTTTAACTAACTCACGCTAGCTGACCAAGCTAATGCCTAATATTGGTAAAGCATTCGAACTTTTCAAATACACTAATTATTAAGTATAATTAACTCTCTCAGCTGATAATTAACCAAATTAACAGGGTCCACTAATGTTTAACTTGTCGGGAGTAATTTTAGACAAGCACATGAACTGCTCTTAATATTGATGCATAACATCTTCAAAAACAAGTCTTGTAATACTAAACAATAATATAAATTAACAATTGATTATCAAATAAATACAGAGAATAAAGTAAGATGACTAAATCGTGATGTAAGAAAGAAATGAACCCTGGCTGGTGTTTGAAATATAACCATATAAGATTAAGAAACAGGGGGCAAACGATGAAATTTGAAAGTTTTAAGGGTGCTATGGTAAATTAACAGCAGATTAAAAAATCGAGGAATTGTTTTTTTTTTTTAAAAAAGGCCATTGCAGCAGCATCATTGTAACTGGCAATGGGCAAACGAAAACAAGTCTCCGGAGGTTTGATGGAGTAGCTGCAATACTTTTCGGTTTCAATTAAAAGCTTCTGGGCCAAGCCATCACATATTTTTAATCATATTAAATATGTTATATATCGGTTTTGGTGAACATCAAAGATGGCTTCCCAACCAAAGAGACGTTATATACTTATGAGGCCCGACGGCATGCAAGATTAGGGCTGGGCAAAAAAATTTCAATCTGATCCAATTTAATTTGAGATAAATTCAATCTTATTTAATTTAGATAAACTTTAGTCTTTTAAAACTAAAAATGTCATACTTTTTTTTTTAGGTTAGATTGGATAAGAGATCAAACATCTAAATCATTTGATTCAATTCAGTCCTATAAATTTATTTAATATAATTATAATTAAATTATTAATTATTATTACAATAAGTTAATTTATAATAATAATTAGTAATTTTTTATATTTTATACTTGTGAAGTTATAAATATTAAGTAAAATTTCAGCATTGACCAATCTTAGTCTTCTCTTTTTATTGATAAAATTTATTGTTAATTTGGTGTAATGAACTTTAAATATGTTAAAAGGTTGTTTAATTTGAATCATTTGTGTTATAATTGAAATACTTGTTGTTGTTATTGAAGATTATTGTGGATTTATAATTGTTGTTATGATAAATTTTATATGATTATAAGTAATTTTATAATGTTAATTGAATTTATTATGTTGAAATAAATTGGTATTTCTTATATATGAAAAAGAAAAAAAAAACAAAGTGAAATACTAAACAAGACTGAGACCAATGTCGTAGTCCTACTAGATCAGTCCTGTCCTATTCAGCTTCGGGTACTAAGACTAGATTAGACCATAAGTTATTGTACTCAATCTTTTTTATAAAAAAAAAATCAGACTTTAAATAAAACTTAAATCATGTTAGGTCAATTCTTTATACAGGCTTATTAGAGCTGGGAATACGGGCGGACCCAATCCTTATGGGCTCGGCCCTTCAAGGCCTAAGCCCTAAAGCCCGATTTCTCATTTTGACCCTTATTTTTCAAGCCCGACCCTTATACTCAGGGCTCAAGGCCAGGCCTGTAAGCCCTTTTTTAAAAAATAAAAAAATTAAAATAAAATTAAACATTATAAATAAATTAAAATATTTTAAAATTTAAAAAATTAAAATCATCATAATTTTTTAGAAATTAAATAACATACATTAGAAGTCTAGTAATAAAATTTAAATCTTCATTTAGAAAATAGTTCATTTTTTTATAAATATACAAATATACTAATTATAGAAAAATTAAAAATATCATAAATTTTATACTATACACTGATATTTATTAAATTATATTAAATTAATTTTAGAATAAATTAAAATTAATAATAATATAATGTATGTAGGATTAAGTTAGCAGGTCATTGATTTCAAACACGTGTTTTACTAAAAAAAATAATAATAAAAATAATATAACAGGCCTTAAAGGGCAGCCCGGCCCCCAGTTCTATTTTACAGGGTTTATCAAGGCCAAGCCCGATTACTTTAAAAAAAATTTATTTTTAAAGTCCGAACCCTTATTTAAACAAGACTTGTAGGCCCAGTCTTCCAGACCCAACTTTTATTTTCAACTCTAAGGCTTATGCATGTATTGCGGAGCAAGGCTCCCAGGAACAGCCAAATCTATTGTTTCATCTTTGTTCTCTGCTTTGAAACGGATCACCGCTGCATTTCCAAACTTGCGTCCTCAAACTACGAGTGGATATAAATCCAATAGTACAAATTAATTTTAGCAATAAATTCCCCGACCATGATAAATTGGAACAATTAATGTCATTTGCTTATATTAATTTCACATCATTCCTGTATAAATGATCACATGAAAGGATATTTTTTAATTTTATTTATAAATTACTTTCAATATTAATATGAAATTAAGGAAACCTTAAAAAATTATTAATTATTATATATGTTTAAAAAATTAATAAATTTTTAATTTTGTCTCTCTTAAATATCTACGTTTTAATAACATATGTTCTATCATCATCGTTTAATAGAAGATAAAAAAGAAATTTGTGATGAAAAGTTAATAATATTACTTATAAATAAGATCAAGGGCTCGATTGTTTTATCTTATTTCATAAATAAATTGTTTATTTTTTTGAGAAAAAATATTTTATAATATTTTATTATATTTGTTTAAAATTTTAATAATAATAATAATCTAAAAAAATATTTTTGATTATTTTTATAAGTTCTTTTGAGTAGCTTTTGAAAATAACTATGAGACAATGACAATATCATAAAATTTAAAATAATAAATTATTTTTATAAAACAGAAATTAAGAAAGATACCATAAAATCTAAAATAGTTAACTAATAAATACTTTTTTATTAATATAACCTAACATAAAATAATGTCTGTTTTTTATAAAAAATTTATAAATTAAATATCTGTTTATACAATCTCCCAACTATTTAAAATTACTTATTTTTAATTTTTAATAAACAGACTCGCAATGATGTTATTCTTGTTTCATTTCATGGATGAATCTTCTTTCATCTGTGTCTTTTTATGTAACACACAAGAGAGGGCTAAGCCTAAAATATTAAAAAGATTGCATATCAAGGGATTGAGATTCCAAGCTTTCAAAAAAGAAAAAAGTAAGCTCTTTGCGAAAGTAGGAGCAACCTCGTACAAAGAAGGATAAAAGATTGAAGTGTTTGCCACTTTGTTTTGCACTTTAGAACCATACTGAATTTAAACTCGCCAACTCCACCTCAGCGTATCAGTAAAATTTTAAGAAACACGAGATTGCTTGTATCAATGTTTGGTGTTCTCAAGTGATGGCGTGTCGACAGGGGCAGAACCAGCCTCCAAATTTAAGGGGGCCAATTTTTTAATAATTAATTAATTTTTTTTAATTTTTTATAACAAATAATTTATAGGATAAGAATATTACCACTTTACCCTCGGTTAATAATTAATCACAAGACTAAGAAATTCAGGATGTTACATTATAAATATAGACTCACTAGTTTACAAACATAAACTTAATTTTCTTTTTTAATAATAATTATCATTTTTATACTATCTTTAAAGATAATTCTAGAAGGATCTTATATCTTTTAAAACTTAACAAAATTATCTGAATTTTAATATTATATATATTTATAAGTTAGTTTCTTATTTTCAAACATTTATTAAATTTAATTACTTTAGTTATTATATATATATATATATTTACTTTCTTACTATTTTAGGCCTAATAAAATTCATAATATTACATTTGGTGCACTTCAAAAGTTAGCCTGGAGTGCTGTCGTGACAATAGATGTGTGCTATGACATAGGATGGTCACACCCTAGCTCAATGACTAGTAAAAGCCTTGGCTCTTTGTGCTATCTGTAGCGGTGAGCAATACTTGTGCCATGGCAAACGAGGCCAATTTCTAAAATTTTTTCTAGTTTTAGTTTAATAATATTTTTAAGTGATGTTGATGATTCCCATGCTTCCATTATCTCATTTTATTGGTTTTAAAATATAGTTTGAGCTCAAATGAAATTTTTAAAGGTTTTCTTAGGATCCCAATGTAACATCCTAAGTGTCCAATGTAACATCCTAAAAATTTTAAGACTCAAATTTATTTAAAAAAATAAATAAAAATAAAATAAAATATCTATAATTAAATTAAAATTTAGAATAATTTGATAGAGGTCCAGAGTTTGAATTTTACTAAGCAAAAGTTTAGTTTTATTTGATTTTTAACTATGGGAAAAATTACCAAAGTTGACCCGGGCTTTTGTGCAATAATAAAAAATGTTGGGCCATTTCTTGTAATTTTCCCCAAACTTTTAAATCAGCTTTTATAAGATGAAAAACCACACCAGAACGCAGAAAAGAAAACAAGGAAAGAAAGGAAACACGTGAGAGAGAGAGAGAGAGGAAGAAGGAAGGAGAAAGAGAGGGAGTTAGGCTCGGATCTAGGAGTCTTTGTGACCGTTGCGAGCTCGGCTACACGATAGGTAAACTCCCTACTTCAATCCTCTTCTCTTTCTCTTGATTTTCTTCAATTTTTAGAAGAGGAGATTTTTGGATTTTGATTCCAAAGGCTTTATTCTTGTAAGCTTTTGTTTCTTTGGATCCTAGGGAGCATGTTTTGAGTTTCTATATAGTGATCTAATATTTTGAGTGGATAATTAGATGAAAAGAGGTGTTTTGGACACAAAATAAATCCTGAGAAATTGGGTTTTTGCTCTTCAATGGTTTAAGCCTATTGATTTAGTTATAATTTTGCTATTTGAGCCCAATAAGATTTAAATTAAGGTTTGGTTTTCATTATAAGGGCTAATGGTGAAAGTTGGTGGCACTAAGTAAAGGTTTTTAATTGATTAAAAAAATTATATAAATTGAAAATTAGCCTAGTGATGGCTAATAAATGGTTTTGGTGGTTAAGTGATACTATGTGAATGGTTGGTTTAATATATGGACCATTAGGGTGGATTATGACTCATTGACCTAAGTTGTGTGGTATAAGTTATAGTCTTCATTAATACTATTTGTCATGATAAGTGATGTGGATCACTTATATGTTGTAGAAAATTGTTGGTGGAACTTATTGAGAAGTAAGGAACAAGCCGAGCCCTATTTTGTACAAGGGGAACCCTTTTAGTACCAAAGGGTTGAGGTAACAGGGGAATTTATATTTCTTATTACTTTGTTTTAGCTATTTTTGAATAAATATTACTAGTTATCATGCATTACATGTTTTAAAAGATTAAATGTGCTTTATAAGGGGTTATGGGGTACTACTTTGATTACAGTGCAAATATGTTTTCTAATTGTTTAATAACAATGTTTTTATGGAAATGAGATTTATAAATATTATACTACTTTAGAGTGTTGAATGGTCAATACTCAGGAAAGGTAGACAAGAGTAAAAGGCATGATCTCGGTGGGAGTTCACCAATGAGAAGGTGTGGATTTTTGATATTCTATGGCACACTGTCAGTACTCAGTGTTGTCTTACGTATTGTGGGCTCAGTGCACTAAAGTGGTTAGTGTATTGAGTGTTCGACACCTCTCAGTGGGGGAGGGAATCCGACATATGAAGTGTGAGGTTGAGTGCCTAGGCCAAGGTAGCCCTCACATGGAGAGTAAGTCGGGCTGGCTCTGGGAGGGAGTTAGCTTTGACTGCTCAGGATTCACGTCGAAGGGGCATAGGCGGTTCGGTGGATTAGATCATGCCTTAGATTATGTTTTGTGCCTGTGGAGGTACAAGTAGGTATAAGGTTTACCTGCGAGTTAAAGAGTGCCAGGGGGCATTCTGTTGGTCATGAAAGGCCATACCGGCCTAGGTCATGCATTCATGCATTTTAAATGGCTAAATTATATACTATGTTGAATTTATTATTCATTTATTTGATTATGGCTTACTTTGTAATAATCAATATAGATTTCACTGTTACTGAGACTGTGGTTGTCTCACCCCTTTCTTTTCAATATTCTAGGTCCAGGCGAAGGATCCAGTGGTGGACGGGGAAAAGAGCAAAGCTAGGGTTTGCTTGTGATTTGTAAAGAACTGCAACCCCTTTCTTTTGAGCAAATATATTGTAATGTATTTAAGATTAGGGTGCCAGTAGGATATGATTATGTGTGTGTGTGTGAATATGTGTGGATTGTGTGCTTGTGTATGAATTTTTGTCTGTTTGCAGACTTGTGGCTAGGAAACTTGGTTATGGTGTGTGGTTTTGATGGATTTACTTAGTAGACCAAGTTTCTATTACAAGCAGATCTTTATTTTGATATATATGTGATTTTATAAGCAAATGCAAAGTGGTTGCATTGCAAATGGTGTGCTATGGGAAAACATACAGCTTGGATAGAGAGGGGTGCGTGGGCCCCACAAGGAGCTCTGAGCCAAGTGAAAATGTTTAGCATATGTATTTATATAAATACATGGTATTTGGATTGATTTGTGACCACTCTTGTATGATTTGTACATTTTGGGATCCATTTTAGGAAATGGCACCCGGGTGGTCAAATTTTGATATATGGGGGTTTTCCATTATTTGAATGTTCTATCAAGTGTTTTTAATCTTATTTGACGTGTCCAAAGTGTTTTCACAGGTTTGTGACCATTAGGATGGGATTTGGACAATTTTGAAAATGGTTTTTACCAAAAAGCTGCACTTTTGCATCCGGGTGTCCAAATCTTAATCCGACCGTTGGATTTCTCTAAAATTTGGGTCACAAGTAAAACCTTTTATAAGCTTCGTGTGGGCTTTGGAATCACGTCGATCGGATATCGGACGGAGAAACGACGCACTCCGGAATTTGGTCTGGAGGTGCTGTCATGACAGCATTAAATTGCTGTCATGACAGCTACAGTGTTGATTTTGTAACCTGCACAAAATTCAATCCGTCCGTTGGATCTTTTCAAAATTTAGTATGCTAATAGTATTCTTTAAAAGTGACATGTGGGCTTTGGAATCACTCCGATCGGAGGTCAGATGATGAAATGGTGCACTCCGGAAGTTGGTCCGGAAGTGCTGTCATGACAGCTTTTTAGCTGTCATGACAGCAAAAATAGTCAATCTTTTAACATATCTAATTTTTAATCCGACCGTTGGATCTTTTTGAAATTTGGTACACTTATAGTACCCTTTGAATGTGACGTGTGAGCTTTAAAATCACTTCAATCGGAGGTCAAATGACGGAACACCGCCTCCTGGAAGTTGGCCCAGGAGGGCTGTCATGACAGCAATAAATTACTGTCATGACAGCATCTTTTTATTCCATTTTCGTCTAACTTGCTTCCGTGCGCTATAGGTAGAACCTATAATTATTTTTAAGGTTTTAAATGATTTATTTCTTAAGTTGGTTAGAGGATCAACTCCTTAACCACACTTAGTTTGTTTGAATTATGTGATTTTTGGATAACACTCAAGGCTAGTGTTACATCCAAATTGAGAATTATCAGTATTTTCAAGGGTCTTTTTGTTAAATTAGATAAATTATTGCTTGATGGTGTTTTTGGGAGATTAATATGGTTTTTGGATCCTTAGATAGCCTTAGAAGAAGGCTAGGTCGAAGTTTAAATGGGCCATGGCATGGAAGAAAGTTTAAATTATGGTTGGGCTCTCTATGCCATGCACTGTAGCACACATACAAAATTAGCTTTTATCAAACTCGTAAAAAACAAATTGAAACTAGAGGAAAGGAAGAAGGGAGAATGGGAGAGAGGCAGGGGAGACCTAAGGGCAGTTAGGGCACAATCTTAAGGGCATCTTGGAGGCACATTAGGCTTCTACACCTTAGGTAAGCTCTACTTTCCTCCCACTCTCCCTTTTATATGAATTTTGATGCTTTAAGGTATAGTTGAGGCTTGTATTCAATTTTCTTAGGTAATGGACGAACCTATTGATTTATTTAAGCTCTTAAGGAGTTAAATCAAGCTTATAATCTTAAGTTTATAGGTTTTATAGTGATTTAAAATTTTTGTTGAGGGTTTGGTCGAACCCTAGGTATAAGTTGAAAGTTTTTAGACAATGTGGATGGTTGAATAATGATTTTAATATATTTGGATGCTAAATAGGATTGTTAGAGTGTTTTGGAAGGTTTGATGTTATTAAATAAGAAATTTGAGAGTTATGGGTACTTGGAACCTATTGATTTTAAGGTTGTTCAGAGTGATAGTTGAAAATTATTGCTTGATTGTGTAGATTGACTGTTGCTCGAGCTTTAGTATGCATATAGAGTGTATGGAGCTAATGTTGAATCATGGTAGCCATTTTGTGTAACAAAAGGTTGAGGTAACAGGATAATTTATACTATTAATTACATTGCCTAACTATTTGTGAGTAGATATGTTAATTGTTACTTGAAATTTGATAACTTTATATATTGTGAAATGTGATTTTACGCATGTAAAACTATTTACAAACAATGACAATGGTGAGTATATGACTCCCTTGTCAAAATATTACTTGCTAATAAACTATTCCAGACTAGCATGAAGGATAGAATCAACTTTAGGGAGGGCATAATTGATGAGAGGCTTAAGAAGCGGTGACCACTTATATCAAAAAGATATTTTATTTCCTTTCTCAACCTTCCATCCAACATTAGATAATAAACTATTCCAAACTTTACAGATAAGAAGAGGAGCTAGTTTTGCAAACTATAAGGATAATGGGTTTATTGCATTTATATTTATAACTGATTGCACCTTGGACCAATAGAGTTTTTTTATTTCTTAAAATATTTTTGTGGCTGACAATTATGATATTAATTCTTTAAGACACATGGACATTGTTTAAAGAGTTATTATCTCCCAAACAATGTTGCCCATACACACATCCAAGGATTAAATTTTAAAATTAATTATACTTATAGCTATCTCATAGCTTTAAAATAAAATTAGTTAAGATTTTAATTTTTAAAAAATTACAACTCTTTTTAATCATAACCTGGCTAATGCCCTAGGTGACTTAAGGATGACTATTAAAAACTCAATAAATTATTTTTGAAAGGAATAACAAATGAAATATCTGAGAAAAAAATTACAAAAACTACTTAATATTTTATATTTTGAATTAAATAAGACTCTATAAAAATAGGAAAGACTATATGATAAATGAGAACAAAACATGAATAATTATATTTATGGTGGCAGAAAATAAAGGGGGGGGAGTTCTCGAATAGCATAAAAGATTTTTTGCCATACACATCAAAATAATTTAAGCAAGGTTATACTTGTAATTAATGAATAACATTAAAAATTAAAATCAAGATTACATTTAAAGTTAAAAAAACCCCCCATTTGAGTGTCGTGATAAATCAATATGAATGTCAACTGACATTTGTAATAAGCATACAATTCGAAATAAACGGATTTAAAAACAAAACATGAGTTTTATTTTTTTAAAAAAAAATTACTGTGATAATAATTTGTGAAATAAAATAAATTATTATTTAATATTGAAATATAATTGAAAGTAACAAATTATAAAATAATATAAAACATTCATGTATTTTATATAAGGGAGAATCACATCTAGCCATGTTTTAAAAAAATTAATCACAGATAAAGACAAACAATAAGTTTTATTTGAGAAAAAATAAGTTACATTCTCATTTTAATAACAATTTATTCTGCATTAATTCTTATAGGTGATTAATTTCTTTGGGAGAGGGCTGAATGTGATTTTCCCTTTATATAATAAGTTGTTATTTATTTCTAATATCAGACTACATCTCATAGAGAATAAAAATTATAATTAATTATGATTTTAATGTTATAATTATTTATTTGTAATTGCTTATGCAAATTTATTTTACATCTTTTAAGCGCTATTACTTTCTATAAAATTATCAAGTTAATAATTACCTAATATCCAACTTCTATTAACTTATTTTAGCGTAGTTCCCAAAAGAACCCAGAAACAAATCCACGGGGGTAAAATTGAAAATTGCTTAAGATATAGAGGGCTAATACTAATTTTTATATTTTTTTTACAAGTAAAATAAAAAAATTTCTAAGAGACGAATGAAATTGGGGAAAGCACCCCCTTCCTCCGTGCATACATTCGTGATAGCTCTATTAGTTTTAAATGTTTCCATTTATCACCCAAGTTGTAAAATCTAATTAATAATAAGAGTGGCCTAACCTAGATTACTTAGGATCCAATGCGACTTTATGATTGGCAAGCTGCTTGATCACTTGATTGAAAGAAGTATCAGAATATTTAGAGCGGAAGTGTATTTACTACCTTTGTTTTAGATATTAATCACGTTTTAAAAATCCTAATATATCAATATGCATGGCAAGTTATCAATCACGATTGAATGGCCATATATAATTTTCCTCTTATAAGGTTCCTTTGTAGCAGCTTTTCTCTTTCCATCAATGGGAGTTTTTTCTTTGGTGACATTTGTTCTTTCAACACTTTTCTTGCCAGTTTTTGCCAAGAGAAAGGCATCCAGAGTAGGTGAGTGTGTGATTAGTTTTTTTGTTGGTTTGAGTTGTTTTTTCCTTTGATCCGAGTTATTGAAAGAATGAGGGTTCGATTGGCATCGGTGAGGTAGGAGTTATTTATCCAAAAGACTGATGATTTGTGCAATAATTAATCATGAGTTTTTGATTTCTTCTCATGAGCTAAGGGGTATGAGATTTTTTTTGAATAGATCTTAATGATTTGGGTTTGTTGTTAAGGGTCTTGGCTTGGGCTAATGTAATGACTTTCATCATTAACCAATGCTAAACTAAATTAATTAAACAACCCTTACAATTAAGGATCAATCGTGACTACGATTAATTAAACCAAGTCCTTACGCTATTTTAGAAGATTGGGATCTCAAAAATTATTCAAAAGTGCACTTAAAAGAATCCATTCTTGAAGGCACTTAACATTAGAGTATAAGAGTTTTCATAAGCATGGAAATTTGGTTGAGCATTTAAAACAAATTCAAACAAAGGTAAAATAGGTGTCATAGAAGTTTAGGTGTCATAGAAGTTTGGGTGCATCCGCTGTGGCTAACCCGAAAAAGAGACAATTCATTATGGCTAAGGTGTTTGCCGACAACCTTCTTCGCCATGGCCCATACCATGCAATACATTTGCCGTAACTAGGAATGCATTTGTCATAGCAGAAACCTCCCAACAACACAAAATTGAGCAACATAAAATATTAACTTTCAAACCACCTAATATA